ATAAACTGGTGGATAAACTAGTGTATCACTGGTGGATAAACTGGTGGATAAACTAGTGTATCACTGGTGGATAAACTAGTGTATCACTGGTGGATAGACTGGTGTATCACTGGTGGATAGACTGGTGTATCACTGGTGGATAGACTGGTGGATAAACTAGTGTATCACTGGTGAATAAACTGGTGGATAAACTAGTGTATCACTGGTGGATAAACTGGTGGATAAACTAGTGTATCACTGGTGGATAAACTGGTGGATAAACTAGTGTATCACTGATGGATAAACAGGTGTATCACTGGTGGATAAACTAGTGTATCACTGGTGGAAAAACAGGTGTATCACTGGTGGATAAACAGGTGTATCACTGGTGGATAAACAGGTGGATAAACTAGTGTATCACTGGTGGATAAACAGGTGTATCACTGATGGATAAACAGGCGTATCACTGGTGGATAAACAGGCGTATCACTGGTGGATAAACAGGCGTATCACTGGTGGATAAACAGGCGTATCACTGATGGATAAACAGGCGGATCACTGATGGATAAACTAGTGTATCACTGGTGGATAAACTGGTGTATCACTGGTGGATAAACTGGTGTATCACTGGTGGATAAACTGGTGTATCACTGGTGGATAAACGGGTGTATCACTGGTGGATAAACGGGTGTATCACTGGTGGATAAACGGGTGGATAAACTAGTGTATCACTGGTGGATAAACTAGTGTATCAATGGTGGATAAACTGGTGTATCACTGGTGGATAAACGGGTGGATAAGCTAGTGTATCACTGGTGGATAAACTAGTGTATCACTGGTGGATAAACTGGTGGATAAACTAGTGTATCACTGGTGGATAAACTAGTGTATCACTGGTGGATAAACTGGTGGATAAACTAGTGTATCATTGGTGGATAAACAGGTGTATCACTGGTGGATAAACTAGTGTATCACTGGTGGATAAACAGGTGTATCACTGGTGGATAAACAGGTGTATCACTGGTGGATAAACAGGTGTATCGCTGATGGATAAACAGGTGGATAAACAGGTGTATCACTGGTGGATAAACAGGTGTATCACTGGTGGATAAACAGGTGTATCACTGATGGATAAACAGGTGTATCACTGATGGATAAACAGGTGTATCACTGGTGGATAAACAGGCGTATCACTGATGGATAAACGGGTGTATCACTGGTGGATAAACGGGTGGATAAACTAGTGTATCACTATTGGAGAAACTGGTGGAGAAACTGGTGTATCACTGGTGGATAAACTGGTGTATCACTGATGGAGAAACTGGTGTATCACTGGTGGAGAAACTGGTGTATCACTGGTGGAGAAACTGGTGTATCACTGGTGGAGAAACTGGTGTATCACTGGTGGAGAAACTGGTGGATAAACTAGTGTATCACTGGTGGATAAACTAGTGTATCACTGGTGGATAAACTAGTGTATCACTGGTGGATAAACTGGTGTATCACTGGTGGATAAACAGGTGTATCACTGGTGGATAAACAGGTGTATCACTGGTGGATAAACTAGTGTATCACTGGTGGATAAACAGGTGTATCACTGGTGGATAAACAGGTGTATCACTGGTGGATAAACTAGTGTATCACTGGTGGATAAACAGGTGTATCACTGGTGGATAAACAGGTGTATCACTGGTGGATAAACAGGTGTATCACTGGTGGATAAACAGGTGGATAAACTAGTGTATCACTGGTGGATAAACTGGTGGATCATTGGTGAATAAACTGGTGTATCACTGGTGGATAAACTGGTGGATAAACTAGTGTATCACTGGTGGATAAACTAGTGTATCACTGGTGGATAAACAGGTGTATCACTGATGGATAAACAGGTGGATAAACTAGTGTATCACTGGTGGATAAACTAGTGTATCACTGGTGGATAAACTAGTGTATCATTGGTGGATAAACAGGTGTATCACTGGTGGATAAACTAGTGTATCACTGGTGGATAAACAGGTGTATCACTGGTGGATAAACAGGTGTATCACTGGTGGAGAAACTGGTGTATCACTGATGAATAAACTGGTGTATCACTGGTGGATAAACTGGTGTATCACTGGTGGATAAACTGGTGTATCACTGGTGGATAAACTGGTGGATAAACTAGTGTATCACTGGTGGATAAACTGGTGTATCACTGATGAATAAACTAGTGTATCACTGGTGGATAAACTGGTGTATCACTGGTGGATAAACTGGTGTATCACTGGTGGAGAAACTGGTGGAGAAACTGGTGTATCACTGGTGGATAAACTGGTGGATAAACTAGTGTATCACTGGTGGATAAACTGGTGTATCACTGATGAATAAACTAGTGTATCACTGGTGGATAAACTGGTGTATCACTGGTGGATAAACTGGTGTATCACTGGTGGAGAAACTGGTGGAGAAACTGGTGTATCACTGGTGGATAAACTGGTGGATAAACAGGTGTATCACTGGTGGATAAACAGGTGTATCACTGATGGATAAACAGGTGGATAAACTAGTGTATCACTGGTGGATAAACAGGTGTATCACTGATGGATAAACAGGTGTATCACTGGTGGATAAACAGGCGTATCACTGGTGGATAAACAGGCGTATCACTGGTGGATAAACAGGCGTATCACTGGTGGATAAACAGGCGTATCACTGATGGATAAACAGGCGGATCACTGATGGATAAACTAGTGTATCACTGGTGGATAAACTGGTGGATAAACTAGTGTATCATTGGTGGATAAACAGGCGGATCACTGATGGATAAACTAGTGTATCACTGGTGGATAAACTGGTGGATAAACTAGTGTATCATTGGTGGATAAACAGGTGTATCACTGGTGGATAAACTAGTGTATCACTGGTGGATAAACAGGTGTATCACTGGTGGATAAACAGGTGTATCACTGATGGATAAACAGGTGGATAAACAGGTGTATCACTGGTGGATAAACAGGCGTATCACTGATGGATAAACAGGCGGATCACTGATGGATAAACTAGTGTATCACTGGTGGATAAACTGGTGGATAAACTAGTGTATCATTGGTGGATAAACAGGTGTATCACTGGTGGATAAACTAGTGTATCACTGGTGGATAAACAGGTGTATCACTGGTGGATAAACAGGTGTATCACTGGTGGATAAACAGGTGTATCACTGATGGATAAACAGGTGGATAAACAGGTGTATCACTGGTGGATAAACAGGTGTATCACTGATGGATAAACAGGTGTATCACTGATGGATAAACAGGTGTATCACTGATGGATAAACAGGTGTATCACTGGTGGATAAACAGGTGTATCACTGGTGGATAAACAGGCGTATCACTGATGGATAAACGGGTGTATCACTGGTGGATAAACGGGTGGATAAACTAGTGTATCACTGGTGGAGAAACTGGTGGAGAAACTGGTGTATCACTGGTGGATAAACTGGTGTATCACTGATGGAGAAACTGGTGTATCACTGGTGGATAAACTGGTGGATAAACTAGTGTATCACTGGTGGATAAACTAGTGTATCACTGGTGGATAAACTAGTGTATCACTGGTGGATAAACTGGTGTATCACTGGTGGATAAACTAGTGTATCACTGGTGGATAAACTGGTGTATCACTGGTGGATAAACTGGTGGATAAACTAGTGTATCACTGGTGGATAAACTAGTGTATCACTGGTGGATAAACAGGTGTATCACTGGTGGATAAACAGGTGTATCACTGGTGGATAAACAGGTGTATCACTGGTGGATAAACAGGTGTATCACTGGTGGATAAACAGGTGTATCACTGGTGGATAAACAGGTGTATCACTGGTGGATAAACAGGTGGATAAACTAGTGTATCACTGGTGGATAAACTGGTGGATCACTGGTGAATAAACTGGTGTATCACTGGTGGAGAAACTGGTGTATCATTGATGGATAAACTGGTGGATAAACTGGTGTATCACTGGTGGAGAAACTGGTGTATCACTGATGGAGAAACTGGTGTATCACTGGTGGATAAACTGGTGTATCACTGGTGGATAAACTGGTGTATCACTGGTGGATAAACTAGTGTATCACTGGTGGATAAACTAGTGTATCAATGGTGGATAAACTAGTGTATCAATGGTGGATAAACTGGTGTATCACTGGTGGATAAACGGGTGGACAAACTAGTGTATCACTGGTGGATAAACTAGTGTATCAATGGTGGATAAACTGGTGGATAAACTAGTGTATCACTGGTGGATAAACTAGTGTATCACTGGTGGAGAAACTGGTGGATAAACTGGTGTATCACTGATGAATAAACTGGTGTATCACTGATGAATAAACTAGTGTATCACTGATGAATAAACTAGTGTATCACTGGTGGATAAACTGGTGGATAAACTAGTGTATCACTGGTGGATAAACTGGTGTATCATTGATGGATAAACTGGTGGATAAACTGGTGGATAAACTGGTGTATCACTGGTGGAGAAACTGGTGTATCACTGATGGAGAAACTGGTGGATAAACTAGTGTATCACTGGTGGATAAACTGGTGTATCACTGGTGGATAAACTGGTGTATCACTGATGAATAAACTGGTGTATCACTGGTGGATAAACTGGTGTATCACTGATGAATAAACTGGTGTATCACTGGTGGAGAAACTGGTGTATCACTGGTGGATAAACTGGTGTATCACTGATGAATAAACAGGTGGATAAACTAGTGTATCACTGGTGGATAAACAGGTGAATAAACTGGTGTATCACTCGTGGATAAACGGGTGGATAAACTAGTGTATCACTGGTGGATAAACAGGTGTATCACTGGTGGATAAACTGGTGTATCACTGGTGGATAAACTGGTGTATCACTGGTGAATAAACAGGTGTATCACTGGTGGATAAACAGGTGTATCACTGATGTACAAACTGGTCTATCAATGATGTACAAACTGGTCTATCAATGATGTACAAACTGGTCTATCAATGATGTACAAACTGGTCTATCAATGATGAATAAACTGGTATGTAACTGGTCCTAACTTGAGGTCTCCGATGAGGCTCTGGACTCGTCCAAACTTAAAGGCCTGCTGGGCGGTGTAGCGGTCGAACTGGAAGCGTCCCTGCAGGTCTCTGTGGCGGAGGTGATCCACAAAGGTCCTGATGATGGTCGTCATCAGGTTCTCCTCCACCATCAGCATCCGGGCCTGCAACATACACCAATGACAGGATGATTTTGTCATAAAACATAAATCAACATCACAGTGATAAAAGAATTAACAGCAACTGAAAATAATGAACAGTAGGGACACTTCTTGATCTAGTGTAGTAGTATTCAACATTATGGACTGTGGCTTACTGCTGGAGACATGATAATGATATGGAATTTGAAGGGTTGCACAGTGCTGGCTGAGTAGCTACCTGGAAAATAGGTATCATTAGTTATCAATATGTTCAGATTACTCACTACAGGTAACTTCCTTACTTCCTTAAGGCTCTGTGTTTGGCCCATTATTGTTGTCTCATACTCACATGTATGTGAGGTTTCCAAAGCTTTAAAATAACACACAATGATGAAGCCTCACAGATGTCGCTGATTAGTTGTGTTACTGTAAATTTGTTGTAATATTTGGCACCTTTACAGTTCTACTAAAACATTTCTAGGCCGACCTAAATTCTATGTTTATATAATCAACTGTAAACTTTGACTGCAACTATTCATGTGAAATAGATCTTCATTTTTTGAAACAGTCCTGATTAATCTGAAAAACAAAATGTGCAACAGATCAATATTTGAAACTCAGAGGGACAGGAAGGAAAGTGAAGGTTAAAGAGGTGAACTAGTTTCTGTAGTGAGGAACATTTCTCACCTCCAACACAAACAGAGTGAACTCACCAGCGACGGGACGGTGAATATTTGTACTGACAGGTCAGTGATGGAGAACTCACGGTCATGGTCGTCTCTCACGTAGTCACACTGCAAGCGCTCATAACTCTACCATCAGGAGAGAGACACAGGGACAGAGAGAGAGAGAGACAGGTGTGTGGAGGTGCAGAGGAGGAGGAGGAGTACTCACCATGGTCGGGACAGTGAAGAGCTGAACAGACAGCGAGGTCACTGACACCACTCGCTCATGGTCGTCCTCCATAAAATCTGTCTGGAGGCGTCTGTAGTTCTAGAGGGGGGACGACATTTCACCTCTGGGTCAGAGGTCGCTGCTGCCGGGCAAACGGCCCCCAACACCCACCCAACCCCCAATATTAAACCCCAATAGACCCTGACGTACTTTCTGGAATCAAACCTCTCGATGTGTCCAGACTTTAACTTGAACTCTTAAATGCACTTCCAGAGGAAATCCTCATCTCTGATGTCCACCCAGAATAAACTTCAAGAAACAAGACCTGCTGACTCAAACCATCAGTGTCCTCTGCTGACCTGATGATGTCACATCCTGCTGCCTACAGTGACTGGAGGCTAATCCAGGGTATGAATCACTAACCAGGACTAAAGGGGTCGCGATGGAAAACTGTGCCTGAGGAGACAAGCTCCAGGGCAACACCACCAAACACGCTATGTTCACGTGTATGAACACACAGGTCACATCACGACCAACACCTAGCAGGGGTCAATGTCAGACCAGCAGACAGCAGCATGCAGATGACCTGCTGTTGCTAAAGCACCTCACGCTAACCTCAGACCAGCGCTCACAGTCAAAAATCTGTCAGGACCCTTTAGAAAGTTCACTTGGTGCACTTTTACTCTGGAGGCATAGTTGTATTTCCTGCTGTGAAGCGCTGAACTCACTGATGGTGGTGAGTGAATGAATATGATCGGTGCAGGTCCGACTGAACCACATCCTCCCTGTATCTATTACATCTATTACAGAAATGTCCTCACTAACGCTGTGACGAGAATGTGCAGAAAACCAGCTGGTAACCGTTCTGGTAGAGGTTTACAGTTTGAATTTTGTATTTTCCTTTACATAAATAAAAACAGTTCAACCATAAATGGATGCAGACATATTCACCAGAATGAAGGAAATTAGGTTTAATGCTCTAAATGTTCAGATAATTCAGCTGTGAAGATTTCTTCTCATCACACCCCCGGTCCTAAGATGCAGATCCTATCTGTTAGGTAACTGGTAGAACCAGGGTTAGGACCTGACTGGCTACAGATGGTCCTAGCTTAAGATGAGAAAACGAGTTATTACACAAACAACCCGAAAATAAAGTCCCCTAACTTTAGAGCAGCCGTTGAGCTAACGTTCCACCAGCTGCTCTTCTCCGCCAGCAGGCAGAGTCGTCACTGAGAGCGCCGACAGTTTCCTCTTCACACACAGGAAGTGACGATGACATCGTGGTGACGTCACAATGACATCGGCGTGTTTTACAGTAACTTCAGTGTCACGTTCAGTCACATCTGCCGTCTAAATTTCACCTGATTAGTTTCTCCTGTGTATCAGGTGTGTCGATCAGGTGTGTTACCTTGGCAAACTGGATGGCAAAGATCTTCTTGTACTTGAGGTCCATGAGGAGGCTGTTCATTAGCAGCTGGTGGTAGATGTTCCTCGCTCCTAAAGAGAGACACATGTGAGTAACATCAAACAGGTTAGAACGTTGGGACGCCGTATCAATAAATATATCAACAAACAAATAAATAAATATATATATATATCTCAATAAATACACACTGTATCTGAGCGTTACCTTTCCACATCTTGGAGTCGTTGAGCATCAGCTGATCGACCAGCGAGGAGTTCTCTCCCTCAGGACCTCTCTGCAGGCCGACCTGACACAGGATCCTCCTCAGACCGTCTGAAACACAGCAGGGAAACATTCACATCACGACTGACACGCACGCAGACAGAGGGATTGTGGGTAATGGAGTAAGGACGTACCAGAGTACTGAATGACCTGTCCCAACCAGCTGAGAGCCCTCAGAGCGAAACACTGATGAGCAACAACGGACGAGTGCATCACCTCAACCCTGAGAGGCTTCGACTGACGGCTGGTGTTCCTCTGGGGGGGGGGGGGGGGGGGGGGGATAATGGAGGACACTCATCACAGTAAGACAACAACAGCAAACTGAATCCAAACGTCCAGGCTTCACACACTACAAGAATAACTACAACCCTGTTTCTAAAAAATCGTCCCCCTGTGTAAAATGAAAGAAGAAAGTAATGAAGTGCGAATCACTGAAACTCCATGTTTTATTGGAAATAGCACAAAGGCAAATTATCAAATAGTGACACTGACAAGATGATTGTTTTTGGAAAATGTAATGCCCAGTTCCACAGCAGGCTGCCTGTTTGAGAACAGGCCTGTATAATAATATTCACTCACCACTATAACTGACTTGGCCTGTTCACAGAACTGGAAATCTCCGTATCGAACTGACTTCCTGCCCTGCACAGACAGACAGACAGACAGACAGCAGTGACGTCACCTGTACCTATGTGTAAGGTGTGTATTAGCAGAGCGGTACAAAGAGAGCACTGACGTCTCTGTCCACGGTGGTGGCGAAGCTGACGGCTTCTTTCTGGCTGCAGTTGACGGCTTTCTGCAGAGTGTAGATCACCTGCTCGTAGGTGTGGACCTCATCGTTAAACAGCATGCAGTAGTAGGTGTCTGCCCTCTCCCTGACACACACAGGAAGGATCAGCACAGCAGCTGAACAGTGTTTTAAACAGCGCCCCCCACAGGCTGCAGCCCGACATTTACAGGTGGAGGAGATCTTTAAAGACTGGGTGCGTGCTTACGTGGGCTCCAGTCCTGCAGGTAGCTGGTCTTCCTGGTCCCAGGTCAGCATGTCCACAGCGTACTTCAGGATGATGGAGAAGATGCTGTAACCACGGGCAACCATGTCAGCTGGGAGCTGAGCTACAGGATCCTGAAGGGACAAAAAGGTACAGAGTGGTGATACTGCAGCAGAGAGGGCCTTTCCTCCTCCTCCTGCCACGTTCGCTCTGTCTGCTCGTTCAGGTGGAGGCTCTGCCATCAGAAACCAGCGTGGAGCGCTACTGGGTTCAGTGCTTGTCAACCGTTTATATTCCACGTTTTACAGTTAGATCCTTTTTTTCGGTCTGCATCTTTCAGGCTGCGTGGGCGTCAGAACAATGGCAGGGGAAACACCGGGGTTATAAACCCTCCAGGTCTGAGTGAGCACGGAGCATTTTAAATTCAGAAACTACCCTAACATGAAAGCCGGCCGCTGTATTTAAACCCTGCAGGTTAACCGAGGAGATACGACTCTGACCAGAGTGGAAGAGGGTCAGAGAGACAGGCGGCCATCTCACCTCCTCTGCGTCCCTGTTGTCGGCTGCAGGGGTGTGTTTCTGGCAGTAAGGACCCTTCTTCCAGGCCTCAGCGTCTCCACAGTCACAGAAACCTCCCCCTCCTGACGTGGTCATCTACAACACACACACACACACAGCTGGTTCATGTTGTGTAACGTCTCAGCAGGAAGGTTCAGGAAGAGATCCAGGTTAAAAGAACTACGATATTCCCACATGACCTAAACTGGAGACGAGCCTCGGGGTGAACGTGCAGGGATATACAGAGTGCGTCACATGATAACTAATAACCAGATCCAGGTCCAGGAGAACAGGACCTGCAGGTTCAGCGAGGGTTAAAGGCTCAGACAGCTCTGCGGGGGTTGATCAGCTGAGTCAGGTAGTTTGTGAGATGTAACAATCCTGATAAAAGCAATAACAAGTTTGTGTAAAGAATCTAGTTTATGAAGGTTAATGACAGGCGACCTTGTGATTTCCTGAGACACGCCTGGTGGTTAAAGTTAAGTGAGAGGAACCGACTGACGGTGTGATCATGGTAAATAAGATGACGTACATAAAGAGACGGGAAACTCAACAGAGAGCAGCTGTTCAACAAATAGAAATAAAAACTGTTTCAACATGAATCTAACCTCTAAGAGTTTCTCCGTAGAATCCCTGTAGACTTTCAGCATCGTCATCACAACGTGGCCCTGCACGGCAGTCGCATGGCAGGGCGTGCGTACTGATCTGTTTTTAGGCCCCGCCCCCTTCAGCCGTCGACAACAACTTCAAAATGAGTGAGGAACCGGAGAAAACCACCGACACAGTGGATCTGGTTGCCAAACGTTGGTGTAAGGCTGCTCTTTAATTTGTATCTTTATCACTTTCTTTAAAATGTTTGTTGATTTAAAGCTCAAGAAGAGACGGTTTGCACTAAAAAGACATTTATCAGCCTTTCTATTTTATTTTCTCTGCTACCAATCACCCGATGATTCTCCTTTCAACAAGAGCAACTTCACAATATCTATAGGAGAAAAGCAAAGTGGTCGAGATGACTGTAGACATGTGTGAGCGGTGTGACATCCATCCACCTGAGTGTGGGCGGAGTCTGTGCTCACCTGTCAGCAGGTGCGGTGACCTGTAACAGCTGCAGGACGCTGCAGACAGAGGGTCACATTTCTGCTCGCCATCAACCAGCTGGGGGGAGTTTACCTGTTGTTACCTGTGTGCGTGTGCTCACCCTGTATCGATGCTCTTTATGAACGCTGCCCAGGAAACACTGCATGCAGAGGACACAGGTGGGGTCGGCTGCACACTCCCTGAAAACACAGAGAAACAGACACTGTGTTACTGTGAGCGAGTGAGTGAGTGTGTTACTGTGAGCGAGTGAGTGTGTGTGTTACTGTGAGCGAGTGAGTGAGTGTGTTACTGTGAGCGAGTGAGTGAGTGCGTTACTGTGAGCGAGTGAGTGAGTGCGTTACTGTGAGCGAGTGAGTGAGTGTGTTACTGTGAGCGAGTGAGTGTGTTACTGTGAGTGTGTTACTGTGAGCGAGTGAGTGAGTGTGTTACTGTGAGTGTGTTACTGTGAGCGTGTTACTGTGAGTGTGTTACTGTGAGCGAGTGAGTGAGTGTGTTACTGTGAGCGAGTGAGTGAGTGTGTTACTGTGAGCGAGTGAGTGTGTTACTGTGAGTGTGTTACTGTGAGCGAGTGAGTGAGTGTGTTACTGTGAGTGTGTTACTGTGAGCGTGTTACTGTGAGTGTGTTACTGTGAGCGAGTGAGTGAGTGTGTTACTGTGAGCGAGTGAGTGAGTGTGTTACTGTGAGCGAGTGAGCGAGTGAGTGAGTGTGTTACTGTGAGCGAGTGAGTGAGTGTGTTACTGTGACTGTGTTACTGTGAGCGAGTGAGTGAGTGTGTTACTGTGAGCGAGTGAGTGAGTGTGTTACTGTGAGCGAGTGAGTGAGTGTGTTACTGTGAGCGAGTGAGTGAGTGTGTTACTGTGAGCGAGTGAGTGTGTTACTGTGAGCGAGTGAGTGAGTGTGTTACTGTGAGTGTGTTACTGTGAGCGAGTGAGTGAGTGTGTTACTGTGAGCGAGTGAGTGAGTGTGTTACTGTGAGTGTGTTACTGTGAGCGAGTGAGTGAGTTACTGTGAGTGTGTTACTGTGAGCGAGTGTGTTACTGTGAGTGTGTTACTGTGAGTGTGTTACTGTGAGCGAGTGAGTGTGTTACTGTGAGCGAGTGAGTGTGTTACTGTGAGCGAGTGAGTGTGTTACTGTGAGCGAGTGAGTGTGTTACTGTGAGCGAGTGAGTGAGTGAGTTACTGTGAGTGAGTTACTGTGAGTGAGTGAGTGTGTTACTGTGAGTGTGTTACTGTGAGTGAGTTACTGTGAGTGTGTTACTGTGAGTGTGTTACTGTGAGTGAGTTACTGTGAGTGTGTTACTGTGAGTGTGTTACTGTGAGCGAGTGAGTGATTGTGTTACTGTGAGTGAGTGAGTGTGTTACTGTGAGTGAGTTACTGTGAGCGAGTGAGTTACTGTGTGTGAGTGAGTGTGCTACTGTGAGTGTGTTACTGTGAGCGAGTGTGTTACTGTGAGCGAGTGAGTGAGTTACTGTGAGCGAGTGAGTGAGTGTGTTACTGTGAGTGTGTTACTGTGAGCGAGTGAGTGAGTGTGTTACTGTGAGCGAGTGAGTGAGTGAGTTACTGTGAGCGAGTGAGTGTGTTACTGTGAGTGTGTTACTGTGAGCGAGTGAGTGAGTGTGTTACTGTGAGCGAGTGAGTGAGTGTGTTACTGTGAGCGAGTGAGCGAGTGAGTGAGTGTGTTACTGTGAGCGAGTGAGTGAGTGTGTTACTGTGAGCGAGTGAGTGTGTTACTGTGAGTGTGTTACTGTGAGCGAGTGAGTGAGTGTGTTACTGTGAGTGTGTTACTGTGAGCGAGTGAGTGAGTGTGTTACTGTGAGTGTGTTACTGTGAGCGAGTGAGTGAGTGTGTTACTGTGAGCGAGTGAGTGTGTTACTGTGAGTGTGTTACTGTGAGCGAGTGAGTGAGTGTGTTACTGTGAGCGAGTGAGTGAGTGTGTTACTGTCAGCGAGTGAGTGTGTTACTGTGAGTGTGTTACTGTGAGCGAGTGAGTTACTGTGAGCGAGTGAGTGAGTGTGTTACTGTGAGCGAGTGAGTGAGTGTGTTACTGTGAGTGTGTTACTGTGAGCGAGTGAGTGAGTGTGTTACTGTGAGCGAGTGAGTGAGTGTGTTACTGTGAGCGAGTGAGTGAGTTACTGTGAGTGTGTTACTGTGAGCGAGTGTGTTACTGTGAGTGTGTTACTGTGAGTGTGTTACTGTGAGCGAGTTACTGTGAGCGAGTTACTGTGAGCGAGTGAGTGTGTTACTGTGAGCGAGTGAGTGTGTTACTGTGAGCGAGTGAGTGTGTTACTGTGAGCGAGTGAGTGAGTGAGTTACTGTGAGTGAGTTACTGTGAGTGAGTGAGTGTGTTACTGTGAGTGTGTTACTGTGAGTGTGTTACTGTGAGTGAGTTACTGTGAGTGTGTTACTGTGAGTGTGTTACTGTGAGTGAGTTACTGTGAGTGTGTTACTGTGAGTGAGTTACTGTGAGTGTGTTACTGTGAGTGTGTTACTGTGAGCGAGTGAGTGATTGTGTTACTGTGAGTGAGTGAGTGTGTTACTGTGAGTGAGTTACTGTGAGCGAGTGAGTTACTGTGTGTGAGTGAGTGTGCTACTGTGAGTGTGTTACTGTGAGCGAGTGTGTTACTGTGAGCGAGTGAGTGAGTTACTGTGAGCGAGTGAGTGAGTGTGTTACTGTGAGTGTGTTACTGTGAGCGAGTGAGTGAGTGTGTTACTGTGAGCGAGTGAGTGAGTGAGTTACTGTGAGCGAGTGAGTGTGTTACTGTGAGTGTGTTACTGTGAGCGAGTGAGTGAGTGTGTTACTGTGAGCGAGTGAGTGAGTGTGTTACTGTGAGCGAGTGAGCGAGTGAGTGAGTGTGTTACTGTGAGCGAGTGAGTGAGTGTGTTACTGTGAGCGAGTGAGTGTGTTACTGTGAGTGTGTTACTGTGAGCGAGTGAGTGAGTGTGTTACTGTGAGTGTGTTACTGTGAGCGAGTGAGTGAGTGTGTTACTGTGAGTGTGTTACTGTGAGCGAGTGAGTGAGTGTGTTACTGTGAGCGAGTGAGTGTGTTACTGTGAGTGTGTTACTGTGAGCGAGTGAGTGAGTGTGTTACTGTGAGCGAGTGAGTGAGTGTGTTACTGTCAGCGAGTGAGTGTGTTACTGTGAGTGTGTTACTGTGAGCGAGTGAGTTACTGTGAGCGAGTGAGTGAGTGTGTTACTGTGAGCGAGTGAGTGTGTTACTGTGAGTGTGTTACTGTGAGCGAGTGAGTGTGTTACTGTGAGCGAGTGAGTGTGTTACTGTGAGTGTGTTACTGTGAGCGAGTGAGTGAGTGTGTTACTGTGACTGTGTTACTGTGAGCGAGTGAGTGAGTGTGTTACTGTGAGTGTGTTACTGTGAGCGAGTGAGTGAGTGTGTTACTGTGAGTGTGTTACTGTGAGCGAGTGAGTGAGTGTGTTACTGTGAGTGTGTTACTGTGAGCGAGTGAGTGAGTGTGTTACTGTGAGTGTCTTACTGTGAGCGAGTGAGTGAGTGTGTTACTGTGAGTGTGTTACTGTGAGCGAGTGAGTGTGTTACTGTGAGCGAGTGACTGTGTTACTGTGAGCGAGTGAGTGTGTTACTGTGAGTGTGTTACTGTGAGCGAGTGAGTGAGTGTGTTACTGTGAGTGTGTTACTGTGAGCGAGTGAGTGTGTTACTGTGAGTGTGTTACTGTGAGCGAGTGAGTGAGTGTGTTACTGTGAGTGTGTTACTGTGAGCGAGTGAGTGAGTTACTGTGAGTGTGTTACTGTGAGCGAGTGAGTGAGTGTGTTACTGTGAGTGTGTTACTGTGAGCGAGTGAGTGTGTTACTGTGAGCGAGTGAGTGAGTGTGTTACTGTGAGCGAGTGAGTGAGTGTGTTACTGTGAGTGAGTTACTGTGAGTGTGTTACTGTGAGTGAGTTACTGTGAGTGTGTTACTGTGAGTGTGTTACTGTGAGTGAGCGAGTGAGTGTGTTACTGTGAGCGAGTGAGTGTGTTACTGTGAGTGAGTTACTGTGAGTGAGTTACTGTGAGTGAGTGAGTGTGTTACTGTGAGTGTGTTACTGTGAGTGAGTTACTGTGAGTGAGTTACTGTGAGTGAGTGAGTGTGTTACTGTGAGTGAGTTACTGTGAGTGAGTGAGTGTGTTACTGTGAGTGTGTTACTGTGAGTGAGTTACTGTGAGTGTGTTACTGTGAGTGTGTTACTGTGAGCGAGTGAGTGATTGTGTTACTGTGAGCGAGTGAGTGTGTTACTGTGAGTGAGTTACTGTGAATGTGTTACTGTGAGCGAGTGAGTGAGTGTGTTACTGTGAGTGAGTGAGTGTGTTACTGTGAGTGAGTTACTGTGAGTGAGTTACTGTGAGCGAGTGAGTTACTGTTTGTGAGTGAGTGTGCTACTGTGAGTGTGTTACTGTGAGCGAGTGTGTTACTGTGAGCGAGTGAGTGTGCTACTGTGAGCAAGTGAGTGTGCTACTGTGAGCAAGTGAGTGTGTTACTGTGAGTGCGTTACTGTGAGCAAGTGAGTGAGTGTGTTACTGTGAGCGAGTGAGTGAGTGTGTTACTGTGAGCAAGTGAGTGAGTGTGTTACTGTGAGCGAGTGAGTGTGTTACTGTGAGCGAGTGAGTGTGTTACTGTGAGTGTGTTACTGTGAGCGAGTGAGTGAGTGTGTTACTGTGAGCGAGTGAGTGAGTCTGTTACTGTCAGCGAGTGAGTGTGTTACTGTGAGTGTGTTACTGTGAGCGAGTGAGTTACTGTGAGCGAGTGAGTGAGTGTGTTACTGTGAGCGAGTGAGTGTGTTACTGTGAGTGTGTTACTGTGAGCGAGTGAGTGAGTGTGTTACTGTGAGCGAGTGAGTGTGTTACTGTGAGTGTGTTACTGTGAGCGAGTGAGTGAGTGTGTTACTGTGACTGTGTTACTGTGAGCGAGTGAGTGAGTGTGTTACTGTGAGTGTGTTACTGTGAGCGAGTGAGTGAGTGTGTTACTGTGAGTGTGTTACTGTGAGCGAGTGAGTGAGTGTGTTACTGTGAGTGTGTTACTGTGAGCGAGTGAGTGAGTGTGTTACTGTGACTGTGTTACTGTGAGCGAGTGAGTGAGTGTGTTACTGTGAGCGAGTGACTGTGTTACTGTGAGCGAGTGAGTGTGTTACTGTGAGTGTGTTACTGTGAGCGAGTGAGTGAGTGTGTT